CCTAACAACGACAGGTTTTTAGATTATGACGGCTCGCCCACAACGCCAGGGGTCAATGCACAATTTATGACAAAACGTAATGGAGTCACTTAGGTGGCCGTCTAAGACAGGTGTTTTTGCTTAGTGTGATAGGGGTTGTGTGTTGAAATATGGTGGCCGCGGCCGCGTTGGACAGGTGCCCGTTTTACACAGTTAAATTATATAGAAAAAACGCAAGGGACGAAATGGAAAGTGTCCGTTTGTACAGGTGGCCGTCTTATAGAGGTGGCCGTCAGGGCAGGTTCGACTGTATAATGAATAATAATGCAAGATTTATCCCTTTATAACTCTGGATTGTTCAAAAGTTCTATGTTCAGAACATTTCAGCAACCTAAATTTTTAAATGCTTTCTGACTTGATCTCATAGACCACGACTGGGAACACAGACAATCTGCCAGTGTAAAATTTTATTTCTGAAAAAAATGTTTTTAAAAACTAGGCAGGCAGGTAAGTAATTGTTTTTTCAATTACTCTGTAGATTTAAGTTGTGCTATACCGTATGCAATGTTTTATGGCCAATTACCAATGTCAGTTTCTATTTCATGAGATTGTTCAGTGACCTTGGCCATACATTAATTTCCATTGGTTGGTAGGGTTTTAGAGACCAGTTCTTCATGACCCTGAGAATATCTGGAACACTTCAGTGCTCTTGTCGGCAGCATATGTCTGAGATGAGACCAGAGACCTAAACAAGTATAATGCAAGATTTATCCCTTTATTACTCTCGATTATTCAAAAGTTCTACTTTCAGAACATTTCAACAACCTAAATTTTTTAATGCTTTCTGACTTGATCTCATAGGTAGCGACTGGGAACACAGACAATCTGCCAGTTTAACATTTATTTGTGTAAAAAAATTTTTTTACTTGAGTTTTTACTAACACTAGTGAACAAATATGATTTACCGGATTTCTACCCTATAAAGACATGTATATCAAATGTCTCGACTCAATTACAACTTGGGCTTTGCATTTAACTACTGTGTATAATTAATGATATTGTTATGCCTTGGGCGGGGAGAATGAAATGACAAATTTTCAACCTCTGTACACAATAGACATGACGCAGTCTTGGTAAAAATATTTTAAAAATTGTGATCTTCAAAATACAGCAAGCAAAAGTTTTTCGTTAGTCATCAGACTAATTTTAGTTCAGAATATGACATTATTTTTGCGATTGGACATAATTTGATAAGTTTATAAACTAAAATTTTGTCACCAGCAGGCTGTCTAGCAGAAAACAAAAAATAAGGCTCTGTCTGATTTTCATGGCGTGAGGACGGAGTACAAGACTATCTGACAACACAATTGCAACCGATTTTCTTATTTCCCTGTGAGGGTGGACTGAAGGCAGACAAGGTCAAAAACCGTCAGTTCTAACTACGTGTAAGTGTAATGAACACTTAACACTTCACCAACGCAGCATGCAGAGCGCGCAACACTTATACCCACAGACCATAATACAGACAAAGATCGTACCTTGCAAGATAGTTCACTCCTCTCTTTGAGTCAATTAAAAAAAGTGTCCTCAAAATCCGGTGTCGCCCACTTCGAAAAAACGCAGACTTTGCTAACTTGTGTCAAAACAATAAAAGCGAAACTAACTAGTTGTGCTATTCCTATTTTTCTTCTGAAGAAACGAAAGAGCTTCAAAATAAAGACTGCAGCGACATCTGAAGCAATGCGCGGACACTTTTGAGCGAGTGATTTTTCTTATCAATGATCTTTGATACAGAAGCAGTACACGCTCTATCTCACCACAGCTGATCAGCGTCCCGTGGAGACAAAGGAAGGCTTCTTACCGTCGCCGATCAGCGTCCCGTGGGGGCAAAGTGATTAGCTTTTTATAACGAGCCAATTCTCTTTTTGATGTTTGTGGACAATTACTTTTTTTTTTCAGGCGTCATTTACCTGAAGAACATGCTTACTCAATATTGGATGGAGCGAGAGCCTGAAAATGTGACGGACAACGTTCCTTTCAACATTCATGAGCAAGACAGGCAGCCTATACGTGACAACCTCATTGAGGCCATCATACATGCTCCAGATCCTGTCAGGTAAGTTGGTTGATCCCTTATGTTCCATGCTTTTCTCGAGTCATCTTGTATGCTCATTGAGATTGTATTTTTTAAAAAGAAAAATAATTTCATTTTACTAGAACAGGTTTTTGTAAACATCATGGAAATATGTTAGAGCTTAAAGCTTCTATTAAAAATGCTGTTGAAAATGCATAGTATTCTTTTTGTGATTGCAAGCTTATTTTAAATTGTTTATGAAAATATATACATTTATGCATTGTTGTATTTACAATCTTAAAGTTTCGATGAAATGTTTCTTGTGTTGAAAATGTCAGCTTTATACATGGGGTTTTTTTCTCTTCCACTTGCAGGGTGCAGCTGTGTGTGTGCCTCAATCATATCATTAAGAACGACTTCCCAGGACGTTGGCCCAATGTGGCGGAAAAAATGGCTTTTTACATCAATTCAGACAACCATGCTTTTTGGATGGGAGCTTTGGTGTCTGTGTACCAGTTCGTCAAAGTGTTTGAGTAAGTGTGGCACTGATTTTCTTTGCAGAAATATTTTGCTTTATTTTATACTATCTTGCAACAAGTATTCTGTAGAAAATCTTGTCCTTTTCACACATTTTTGGCACTTTATCAAGTCCCCTACAAATACAAAATGTTGGCTTGTTCTGTCTCTAATTGCCGTTTACAATAATCCCAGGAAACGTGGAGACGGGTTAAAAAATTGTTTTTTTGTACAATGATAAGGAACTCTGAAAGTGAATGTTAGAAAAGAATAAAGAATTTTGAATGAGTGTAGAGAGAATTCGGGTACTTCTGAACGTAGACCCCATGATGATCCTTGATTTTCTGTGTAAAAAGTAGAGCCGACAGTTTAGGATACACCAACCGCAGGCAAAAAAATGCTTTAGGTGGCTTATTTCAGATGGTCAAGAGTGGGTGGTTGGCGATGCTGGCGGATGCCCAGGTGTGGTCTGCTCTTTCTTTCCATACAGATGTCTTTCCTACTTTTATTTTTGTGTTTTATTACTCTATTGTAACACATTTAATAATTGGTACTTTTATGACCTGTTTATGTTGCAAGTGCTGTAGCACTATAGAAAGTGGGTGGTTGGCGGGTGCTCTGGTGTGGTTTGCTTCTTCTTTCCTATCAAACATCTATTGTCCTTATGTCCCCTTCTTCTTTTTTATGTTTGTTACTCTCTTGTAACACCTCTACTCTTTTGGTGTTCATATGACCTTATAATGCAGTTGCGAGCGCCGTAAAACCTCTACTAAAACTAAACTAACTCTATTGAAACTGGGGGGGAAAAAAGGTGGACAGGAACTAAGATCCACCCCTTTGTCATTGTTTTCTCTACAGGTATAAAAGATGTGAGGAGCGCCAGACAATGGATGACACTATGAAGCACATGCTCCCCATTTTGTACCAGCGTCTAGTGCAGCTCGCACAGGAGCCTTCTGAAACCTCCAGTCTTCTGCAAAAGCAGATCCTGAAAATCTATTTTGCCTACACACAGGTACAATGACAGACTTAACTTTGTGATAAAAGGCATACAATTTCAACGTTGGTCAACTATAGATATAATATAGTCTACTGAAAACATAATACCAATTATTGAAGTGTTGTGACTACTAAAAAATGGTCAGTCATATGCAATTAGGGATTCCTGTGTGTTGTAATATAGGGTGTAATGTATCGTCCCCTCAGAACTATTTTGTCCGAAGTCACTCTTTTTTTATGTTCACTTTGGACGGGGCAGTGCCACTGACTGTAGTGTCTTTTAGGCCATTCCCAAAGGGGGGACATCTCTCGTTCAAGCATAGTAGAATTGTAAATGAACTGGCTCATGTCACGCTCATAACTGTGCCTGATCTACAACAGAGAACTGCTGCTTTTTCTTTCTTGATCCTTACTATTGTCATTTTACCTCTACTTCTTTTGTATGTTTGTCACTCTCTTGTGACCTGCTATTTTGGGGTGCCTTGATAGTCGAAGCAGACCTTGTGCTGTTGAAGCTAGAGAGGTGAGCTGTCTAAGTCTGATTCCCTGTAAAGACTTCTCTGTTGAGACCCACCCCTTGGCGCTCATATGACCTAATGCAGTTGCGTGCACCGTAAAACCCTCTACTCTAAAAAAAACAACAAAAAAACCACGTTGGACAAAATAGTTCTGAGGCGACGATATAGTCACTGCAAAAGTGGATTTTTATTCCTGACCAAGAGAAGAGTGAATGACCATACCTGCTTGTGGCACTTTGTGACTATTCTAGTGCAATTTACATGTTTGTTTGCTTTGCTCTCCTTTCTCCATACTTTTGTTATAATAAGGTGGAATATTGTTAACATGTCACCATTGTTCATTTTGTGTAAATGTGAGAGCCAAATAGACATGTTCAATGTAAATGAGTAAAAATAGAGTAACTTAATCCAGTGGCTACCAGGGCACGAGGGCACATTGAGTGTTCCTGCCTTTTACCTTTATTTTATTGGAGCCCATGGGTAATTGTGCGCTAGGCTCAGCACTTACTACCCTCAACTTTGTTCTCACTTTTTTCTTGTAGTTTATTTGTGACTCTTAAAGTAAGCTAGGTGTTATGAGTTCAGTGTCTATGTGTCCTAAATAAAATATTAATGTGGCTGCTGCTTCTTCTTTCCTATCAAACATCTATGGTCGTTATCTCCCCTTCTTTTTTATGTTTGTTACTCTCATGTAACACCTCAAATCTTCTGGAGCTTATATGACCTAAGGTTAATGCAGTTGCCAGCGCTGTAAAACTTCTACTAAAACTAAAAAAAACAACAAAACTTGGTGTTCTAAGTTCACGTGTCCTGAACTGTGCCAGGTATTGTCTGATGATTGGTGTGGTATTTACATGTGTTCTTTTTCATTTCAGAATTATTTGCCAGCGTCTGTTCTGACCCGAGAAGTTTTCACTCAGTGGATGGAAGCCATCAGACAAATCGTCGAAAGAGATGTACCACCAGTATGTTAACGCTTTTCCTGTTGATTTGAAGCTCTCTTGAGAGAGTTGACATTCATAATTTTTCAGCTACTCGTGCGCTGGCCACAAAGCAATTTGTTCTGTCTGGTGCAATGAACTTAGATCTATATATTTTTGTTCTTCATGATATGAAAGTGAAACCAGAGACAAGAGTTAAAATTAAGTCCTGATTGTTGTTGTTGCACTATGAGATTAAGCTTTTTTTTCTCCAAGATGTAAGTCATTTAGTTTCCTGTAAAAATGTTAAAATAGTTGTTTTACCTATCAGAATGAATCGACCCTCCCAGTTATTGTCAAAAGTTTGAACATTTTTGTTGCAGTAACATAAGTGGCTGGAAAAATCTACAAGGCGTTGGAGGTATATAGATGTAAATGGTCTCAGAATTGAATATAGACTCACATGATCAATTTATCACCCTTTGTTTGGTTGCTTTTGATTTTTTTTGGGGGGAGGGGGGTCATTTGTTTTGTTACCATGGCAACCAATTTCGATCAATATTTACTGATTTTATTGATCAATTTATTCCAAATAATATTTGATATTGCATCTTTTGCAGGAGTCAAACCAAGTGGATGAGGAAGAGAGGGCTGAGCTGGCATGCTGGAAACTTAAAAAATGGTCTGTCCACATCTTGGCCCGTCTGTTTGAGAGGTAAAGACAGCAATTTTTTTTTTTACTGTTTTGGTTTTGAAATTGTATTAGTCTACTTCTTTTGTCTTCTTCAGCCATGTTGGAGTCGGTGATGTTATGACAGAAATCTGCTGGGTTTTTGTTTTTTAAAGATTTTTTACCCAATGTGTGGTTATATATATTCCTTTTAAAACTCTTGACTGCTCCAGTTTTGTCTAGGGTCTCCATTGTGATAATATCTTTGCTGCCCTTTTGATTAGACTTGACTGCAGGTCTTATTAAAGTACACTTGGAATATGGGTGGTTCTTCTGGAGACCCCTTTACAAGATCATTTTTATTCTTTTTGACTTACATCAATGTTGAAAAGGGCAGATCAGTTTCTCCCTTGTAACACCTCTAATCTTCTGCTCTTATAAGACCTTATTGTGTATCAAGTTCCGTAAAACTCTTAACTAAAAAAAAAGAAATCTAAGTATAGCTTTTGACTAGATTGTCATTATTGAGCTATTTTTCCCTCTGATGCTGAATGCACTCTGCAACAAATGAGCTGTTCTATTTTGCCGTTTAATTTGGAATGCATACCACAAGTGAACTGTTTTCCTGCATTTCCAAATAACCCCTTTGGGATGTATATGTCTAATATTTATAATAATTTTTGTTTTTCTTGCAGGTATGGTAGCCCAGGAAATGTGACAAAAGAGTACAATGACTTCTCTGAATGGTACCTCAAGACCTTCTCTTGTAAGTGGTAGTGTTAAAAATGCAATATATATTGTAAAAAATTGGAGAATAGCTGTTTTATGAAAATTTTGTAGCTGGGTTTTATTTTATAAGTTTGTTAGAGGGGGGGCTCACCCAGAGGTATGGTGTTTGCCTCCCTTTCAATGGGTCCCGGGTGCAAAACCTGACGGCAACATATTTTTCTAAAGAATTTTCTCCTTTCACCTCCTTTCTTGCTCTCTAAGCATGTTCTGGCGTCTGTTTTCCACTCCACTTTATGCTATTCGTAACTGCATTGGGCACTCTGATGTGTTCCTTGATCTTAAACAATATCAGCCACTCCCTTCGCTTACCTGGTTTGCCACTGGACTACCCTGTAGCTGCCATAGTTTGAATCTCTTATTAACTGATATTTTAGACTTATGAGCTGCTTGGAGAGTTCTCATTTTGCTCTGCCCAATTGCCTCGGTTCTATCAGAGGTGGATGCCTCTATTGGAGGTTTCTGCTTATTTACTTCTTGTTAAACACATTCCTTACCTCTTGATCGTTCTGTAACTCATTTAAGGTAAAAAAAAACATATATGTACGAATAGATCGGTGTGTAAGTTCTATGCTCTTTCCTTTCTCAGGTGGGGTACTGAACGTTTTGCTGAAACTGTTGGAAGGGTATAGACAAAAGGTGTATGTTGCGCCGCGCGTTCTGCAGCAGTCGCTCAACTACATCAACCAGGGAATCAGCCATGCCTTCTCTTGGAAATTCATCAAGCCGTACATGCAGGTATGTGATTTCTTTCTTTCTTTTTTCCCCTCCCTCTTTCCTTAATTGGAGTACTTTTACTTTTTTGGAACTCTTTGTTTTTGAGCGAAATAACTAGATTTAGAATTGTCCTCCTGAGTAGAGCTGTTCTCAAGGAACTTTACTTTTTAACAATCACATTTTCAGCTATTTACAGCTATTTGAAGAGTGGCGAAGCCATTCAAATGCTGTGTGACTGTCTCAACTCATTGTAAAATTAGAGCGTATTATATATAACATAATTGCGGTAAATATAGAAATAATTTGCACTTGATGACAATTAGATAATGATAAGCAAATGACGGTGTGAATAGGGAATAGAGCTGATGGCCATATATTATTATATTTAAAAAAGGAACATTCGCACAGGTATTAGAATAGTTCCTTCAAGCCACTTATCATTTCATTTCCTCCTTTTTGTAGCAATGCCAATCGCCCGCTGCGCCTTGTGCCGGAAATCGGCCTCCGCGCGAGGGGTATTTTTTGGGCCGCTCGGAATCAGAAGTGACTCTCTTCTAAGTTTAGTTACGGGAAAACTCCTGGACGAAAATCAATGAAACTCGGCAACCAACCAGAGGAAAGGTTAAACTAACGACATGCCAGCGTACAATCCCGAACGATTACTAGCACCGGAGATATTGCCGTGTTTGTGAGAATTTCCTCTGCGGTTCGAAAACTAAGCGGAGCAGCGGGTTGATCGCCGACCACACAAGCGCCCCACATGTCTTCTTTATTGCTGTAAAATTTCAGATCTCTGCGTTTAGTAGATTTTCCGTACCAACTTAAAATTACCACCCACCCATTGATAAAACACTAGATCTAGAAACTTAATCGCGCATTCAAAACGCGAGGTGCCGGCATGCAAGAGGCGCGTGATCGCTAGGCGGCATGTGATTGGCTGCCTATAACCAAATGGGTCACCGATGACTACATCGCGGGTTTTCCCGATAGCGCTTTACTGAGTTTTAGAAGGGGTGATCGCGTCGCGGTAAAAACGATGTCACGCAATTCAACAAATTTCACGCAAATATCAGTGTTTAAGATCCAAAGTAATAAAGACAACGAAAAAGTGATAGCAGAACTAGATTTGGCACTAAAAATCACATGGAGATGCCAAGTTTCATTCATATGCTCCAATTCATTACTGACTTATGAACAGTTTTTCCTCAAAATACATCAAAACATGTCCCACATTTTGGCGATTTTTTCCTATATGAAGGTCCTCCAACATTTTGCAAACAAAAATCCCAATAACTTTTTTATTTATCAATGGATTTTTAAAATTTAAAAACCACAGTTCTTAGAATTTACTCTAGTTTCATTTAAGCCCATTTTTAAGCAATTCGGATGAAAATTTAATTTTTCATTGTCATTGCTACTTTTTGTTCTTTTGTAAATGTTCAAAATAAAGGTGTCTGTGTATATAGCAGTTTTGTCTTCCCGACATATGCTTATGTTGCTCTGATGCCGTGCCTCTGCAGACAATGATTCAAGATGTGATCTTCCCGCTGATGTGTCACAATGATGAGGACGATGAGCTGTGGAACAGTGACCCTCTTGAGTATATCAGAATCAAGTATGGTAAGGGAATGTATAATAATAGTGTTCAACAATTTGTTCTTGTGCGGGGGGGGGGACACCTTGCTTTGTTCGGTTTCATGCCGGATTTTTTGTTTTTGTTTTTGTAAAGTGTTTTACGACGCTCGCAACTGCATGAGGTCATATGAGCGCGCGGGACACACCAAATATTTTCAGTTGGTAGGAAATTATGAATTTTTTTCCCGGGTGGCAGCCGAAGCCTGCTCTTATTAACGTGCGCAACTTGCACACAGGCCCTCCGAGATTTTTCGCCCTTGTCCGAGAAGGTTAGGTGTAGATCTTTCCTACCAGAAGATCAGGGGTGTGGCAGAAAGACAGCAGTAAGGAGGAGCCAAGGAGTAGCAGTAGAAAGGCTGCAGAAAAAGTCAGGAGCCCTGAGGAGGGGGTGGGGGCAGAAAGTTGAAATGAAAGCAGACAACAGAACATTGCTAGAGAGCAGGAAAGGAGGTGAAAGGAGACAATTTTAGAGAAGAAAATTTTTCGGTTGCTACCCGGATTCGAACCCGGGACCTTTGAATGAGAGGCCAACACCTTAACCTCTAGGCCACGAGAGCCCCATGCTGGTTTTTGAAGTCGAGGTGGAGTGATTGTATGGCTTAGTGGGATTGTTAACTTCATGGCTTATATAGATTAGATAATGGATGTGTAGGACGCTGGAGTTTTTTTGGGGGGTGGGGGGTGTTTTGATGTTCCTTATATCAGACATGGGGTCATTTAATGTGGGTAATGTGTTTATATCAAAGCCCATTGGAGTCACAAACTGCAGCTTTACATTTGGAATGTAGTTGCCGTTAAGCTGGAGACTTGTTAGACTCCTGTACTAGTTCCTAATTGTACTGTGACTTAGGTGGTTGAAAGGTGTTGGTGGCAGGTGCTACTTTGTTAAGTCGTTACGGTCTATTGTTTTCAGTTGCTGAGTCTCCTCTCAGTACTAAATTTTCATATTGTTGATTTGCTTCTTTTGCAAAAATTTCAGCGGGCAAGGATAACCTGGAACACCCCCTCCCCCCTCGGGGTGGTGCTACTGACTTAAGTGTTTTTAGGCCATTCCCAAAGGGGGGATATTAACCTGTTCTTATGCACAGTAAAATTGTAAATGGGCTGATTCATCAATGTCATGCTCATAACTGTGTCTGAACTGCAACAGGGAACTGCTGCCTTTTTCCCCCTAATCCTTACTATCGTCATTTGCCTCTACTTTTGTGTTTGTCACACTCTTGTGACCCGGTATTTCTGGGGTGCCTTGATAGTCGAACCAGACTTTCTCTGTAAGGATTTCTCTGTTGACATCGACTCCTTGAAGCTCATATGACCGTACGCAGTTGCGAGCGTCGTAAAGCATCTACTTAAAACAAAAACTAAAAGGATGACCTGTTATTCTTTCTCTTCCCAGATGTGTTTGAAGATTTCCTGTCCCCTGTGATGGCTGCACAGACAGTATTCCACTCTGCTACAGCCAAGCGAAAGGAAGTTTTGAACAAGGCAATGGGATTCTGTATGTCCATACTCACCAACACGAGCTCCGAGCCACGGGCGAGGGATGGTGCCCTGCACATGGTTGGAGCTGTTGCTCAAGTCTTGCTAAAGGTGAGAGCTAGAGCTGTTTTTAAAAAAACACTTTTATGGCTTAAGTTTCGAAGCGTAGTGGGAGTCACAGCTAGGGTACTGGTTGGAAAGGTTGGTACAGTAGGGGTTTATTTTGTTTCACCACTCCAGATTTTTTGTCAGAAGTTTACGTACTTCTATGCACAAACTTGCACACCCAATAGCGAAAACCCTTTTGGGGACCCTAACAGGCGGGGTCGAAACAACCCACCAATTGATCTAAACTGTTGGTGGAGGCGTGAAACATCTCCTTTTTAAAATTTTAAACCGAGTCCGTATTTTTTTAAAATGAAGAAAGTACTTTTCAAAAGACTAACCAGGACATGCCATCAAAATCCGTGTATTAAAATGTGATATATTTTTTTTTAATACACGTTTTTCGGTTCACCAAAACAATCCATAAAGTTACACTTTGCCCAGATGTTTTTGTATATTTTTTTTTGCCGAATCCACTTTTGTTGTAACTCACTTCTGACAGTTCACGCAACGTTTGCTTGACTGTTGTAATGTCATTTGCGACCATTCTCACAAGTCCTGCAAGCCAGTATAATCTATTGAAAATACACCTAAAACACTTGTTGGAGAGGTAGTTGGGCCAAAATGGGTCCCCGTCTCAACCAAGTTAACTTTGTGGTTATGTGGTTACTTTTTTTTTCTGACAGCGAAGTATCTGTGTTTCATATATATATGTATATAGTATTTGTATTCTTTCAACAGAGAAAGATCTACAAGGACCAAGCTGAACAGATGCTGACGACCCATGTCTTCCCTGGCTTTGCCAGTGGACATGGATTCTTGAGAGCTAGGGTAAGGATTTAAAAGAAAGGTTTTTAGTGTCTTTTTTTTTTTTTTTTTTTTTGCTGTTTAAAAAAAAATTAACTAACTGTTCTTATCTTACTGCATGGATGTACATTTTTTTTACAATCGATGGAGAATGTAGACAAAGGTTTCTTCTTTTCTTTTTTAAAATGTATTGTAAACTATGAAGTGCCCTCCCTGCCTTCAAAACAATTATGAAAACTGCCTAGGGAAACACGATTCTACCTCTCAGTTGTAGAGATCAGGGGTTTTTTTTTTGGGGGGGGGGGGCATTTAAAAAAAATAAATTTACATGTAGTCAAAATTGTCCATGATGGCCACCCATTGTCAAAGAAAAAAGTGGAGGAACAGTATCGTTATAATTTAGAAAAAATACACAAGGTTGAAAAGTTGTCATTTGTTCAGGTGATTGTCTTGGACAGCTGACTGGTAGAGCAGATTCTACTGTTTAGTCAGTTTATTGATGAATCGTATTGCAATTTTGTTCTTTCTGTCTGTGTCACTTCCTGAATCCATTTAGGCTCTGGCATAACAATTTTTCTTTCTTTTCGAAACCCGCAGTCCTGCTGGGTGGTTCGTCAGTTTGCTGAGCTGAAGTACCGCAACTGGCAGAATGTCAACCAGGCGGTTGAGCTGGTGAAGGTTGCTCTGTGCACCGACAAGGACCTGCCCGTGCGCGTGGAAGCGGCCATCGCCGTGCAGATGCTGATCACAGAGCAGGAGAAGGCCAAGACTTACATTCAGCCTTTTGTGAAGCCGGTCATTCTGGGTAAGGGCCCTTCTTCTCCACCTCTTGTTTCTTACTATTGCCGGACCTTTCAAAATATCAAAATATAAAAGTCGAAATTGTTTAAGGCGGCTGGCCGTCCATTGTCTGGGAGAAAATTGGTTGACCTAGATAGGTGGATGTCTTGGACGGTGTGATCATTACATTTAAAAAGAAACGCTGGGGGAGGGGGTGTCATTTGAACAAGTGGCTGTGGGCAGGTTTGACTTTATCCCCCCCCCCCCCCCCCAAGTGTTTTGTCAGTTTTACTACCTTTTGAAAAGCCCAGTTATATTTTAAGTACTACTCATTTTACATTTAGAATAATTCATGTAAATTTCCTGATTGTGTCCATTATTCAGCAGGCTTGTACACTGTACACGTATTATGTGTCTTTTGTGTCCATTTTCAGAGCTACTGAATGTCATCCGTGAAACTGAGAACGATGAACTGACGGGTGTCATGCAGAAATTGGTGTGCACCTATGTGGAGGATGTCACCCCCATTGCTGTGAACATGATGAATCATCTGGTCAGTAATGTTTGGTTAACTCATACAGTACTGAAGGCTCATATTGTGAAAAATCCTCAAGTACCGCACCAGTTTAGAACGCTGAAGCCGTGGTATAATTTTTGCAAATTAAAAAAAGACATTGGCAGCCCAAGAAACACTTGAAAAATTCACGGAGGTTCATCAATCATTCAGCTATCGTATAGAGTGACTTCCTTTGGTATTTACTTCAGTGGGGTGCGTCCTTTCATTGTTTAATTATGTTTAATGTGCCTGGATGCGTCGGCAACCAAAGTTGCTAGCGGTAGTGAGCGCATACTACGGCCTGGGGTACTATAATTGTTGGTGGTGTTCTCTTGTCATCTGAATAAGTGTACGTCTGTTGCTGGATAAGAGTTAAAAGTGTGAAACATTCTGAGTGAGAGTATTAGTTTTATTAATCTTGTGTGTTCATTTGGTTCATTAAGTCAATGATTCAATGCTGATTGTTTTAACTACGTTGGACTCATTGAGTTGTTTGAATGATGCGAATACTTGTTCAAAGAACTGACTGTCTTTTAAAGCGTAGGTTGTTTTTTTTGTTTGTGTTGGTTTCTTTGTTTTAGCAAGGGTTCTCAAATTGATTTGATTATTTTTATCACATAGTCTCAATGTCCAAATTGTGATGGTACATTTTACATAAGCCTGTCACTTCGCATGGTTGCTGGTATTTTGTTCAGTCTATAAGGGTCTACAATAATTTGTGCAGAGGCTTAACATGCCGGGTGGTCGTACTGCGCTGTTAAAAAATTAGGGAAAGTTGTGTTGTTGTTTTTTGTATATGCATCAGGTACTTTTTATACAAGGATTTTGTTTCTTTTGCCCTGCACAGAACATTTTTAGCATGATGTCCATAATTTTCAACTTTTTAATGTTTTGAAGTCTTACTGTACTCGATTTGACGTATTTTTTGTTCCTTCTTCCGACAGGCCCAAACTTTTGCACAGATCATAGAATCTGATAGTGACGGTTCCGAGGAGAAGGCAATATCAGCACTGGGTATCCTCAACACAATGGAGACAATCCTTAGCGTCATGGAAGACCAGAAGGAGGTCTGTACCTTGGTGCTGGAAATGTATATTTAATTGCAGGTTATTCAGTTGTTGGGGAAATGTTTGATTTGATGCTATAGAGTTTTGGTATGTTCCTAAGATTTTTTTACACTGGTATATGTCTGGGGTTAGAGAGTTCCCTTCCAGACCTCCCAACGTACTCAAATTATTTTTTCCCCCAACGCACATTTTCTACTTGGGCTGTCAACTTTGGAATGATGCCTGGAAATCCTACATTTATGTGACACTCAAAATATTTAGTTCAATGGAGCTGTTTGAGCTATTCATCTGGATATCATATTGATATCCGGTTTACTAACTGTCCCGAGTGTCCTGGATTGGGCAGTCGGGAATCAGAGAGAAACCTTTTTACATACACTGCACCTAAACTCGTTCCACTTGATATAGTTTTGTTCTTTGTTACGTAATATGGATTTGGGAAAAAGTTTGCAAGTCTTGTTATATGTCAGCCAGGCACATCTTTTATTGTAATGAGTAAATTCTCTCCTTTTCCCCCCCCCACTCCATCTCAGATTGTGGTGCAGCTGGAGGGTATTGTGCTGTCTGTGATTGGCATCATTCTTCAGAACAACATCATCGGTGAGTGGCGGCTTTTCTGTACATTGTACGCAAATGTTATGGGGTTTAACCACCGTGAAGAGTTATGTGACTGATTTTCTGTACATTGTATGCCAATGTTATGGGGTTTATTGAGAGTTATGTTACTGCTTTTCTGTGTATTGCACTTAAATGTCCTGGGGGTTTACCGTAGCTGAAGAGTCATGATTGGCCCCGATGATGTGAAACAGAACATGAGGTCCATGAGGAGTGATGCAGCCTGCTTTTCTTTCTTCCCTTTCTTGTTTTCCTCATTAACTTTTTTCCCAGCTTGATTTCTTTTCTGCCTCTCTGGCCTTCTTCCTGACTGGCTGCTCGCTCGGACCAATGACAGTGATTATGAGAGCTGAGGGGCTTACAGTAAGAATGGAAGGGAATGGGTTTTTTTTCCCCCCCCACATGAAGGTCTCACTTTGATCCCATCTGTTTTTGGTTCGTGTCTGTGTCTGCGTTGCGAAAAAGTGCATGTTGGAGTCCTCAAATTTTGACTGGCTTTGGAAAATATACTTTGTCATGTGTTATATATGCAGAATACAGAAGGAAGCAGTTGAGGGCAAGGGACTGGGTTCCATTTATAGTATGTTTCCGTGACTGTTTAAAACAGAGTTTAGTTTGGAATCCATTCTTATATTGGCATCTGTGGTGTAGCGGTTAGGCGCTTCGCTGTTGCACACAGGTGGCTCAAGTTCAATTCCAGAGTGGAGAACATATTTGAGTATTTTGGTCATTCTGCTTGGTAGTTGTTTCCCTAATAGTCCAGGTTAGCCCTGACAGGCAGGGTAGGAAGCCTGTCTCCTAAATGGTCTAAATTATGTCGATAGAGTTGTAAAAACACTTACATTAAAATTTTTTTATTTGAACTCAACCTATGCTGGTGGTTATCGTGAGAGCTCAAAAGCCTTGAGGTTCATTTTTTATTTTTCTGTTTTGTTTTTCATCTTGTAGATTTCTATGAGGAAGTGCTGTCCCTGATCTACAGCTTGACGAGTACCCAGGTTTCTCACCACATGTGGGAAGTTTTTGGCATGATTTATCAGATGTTCCAGAAGGATGGAGTTGACTACTTCACCGGTAATAGAAGTGAAATTTATAGTTTGCATCAGACCATATGACACACTTCACAACTTGAAATAAACTGAAGTGCTTAGGTCTTTATAAAATCCTTTAGAGTCGTGTCAAAAGACTTTTTTTGTCATTATCTCATGGTAATGATTTATGTCGTAGTTTGTGATTTCACTGTTTTTCTCGTTTAGTTCAAGTTGTTTGAAAAAGGTTTACGTACTTGGAGGCATGCATGTATCCAGGTTTAGTGTGGTCCCCCCCCCCGTCTTTTTGACAAATTGTATTGGTAGTCTTATAATTAGTTTCTCACCAAATAGATATACAGCGATAACGTCATTCTCGGTATATGTACATATGTATTTTGTTAAAAAAATTAGTTTCATGTGTATCTCAATCTGATGTCTTTGCTCGGCAGTTCTGACTTTTAAGAGCAATGGCATTAGTGAAGGGGGGAAGATTGGTTGACCCAAAACTTTAGAATGTACAAGTGCGTTTTTGTTTAAAGATGGTGAAAAAATTCTCTTTCTAGACATGATGCCAGCCCTGCACAACTACATTACTGTGGACACGGATGCTTTCCTGAGCAACCCCACCTACCTGGAAGTCATCTACAACATGTGCAAACAGGTGAGGGGGCTCTCGTGGCCTAGAGGTTAAGGTGTTGGCCTCTCATTCAAAGGTCCCGGGTTCGAATCCGTGTAGCGACCAAAAAAATGTTCTTCTCTAAAATTGTCTCCTTTCACCTCCTTTCCTGCTCTCTAGCAATGTTCTGTTGTCTGCTTTCATTTCCACTTTCTGTCCCCCACCCCCTCACCTCCTTCGCCCCCTCCTCTGGGCTCCTGACTCTTTCTGCAGCCTTTCTACTGCTACTCCATGGCTCATCCTTACTGCTGTCTTTCTGCCACACCCCTAATCTTCTGGTAGGAAAGATCTACACCTAACCTTCTTGGACAAGGGCGAAAAATCTCGGAGGGCCTGTGTGCAAGTTGCGCGCGTTAAAGATCCCTTGGTGGTCTAAAATCGATTAGAGTAGGCTTCAGCCGCCACCCGCGCAAAATTCAAAATTTCCTATTAACTGAAAATATTGTGTCCCGCGCGCTCATATGACCTTGTGCGGTTGCGAGCACCGTAAAACACTTTACAAAAACAAACAAAAACAAGTGAGTTCTTGATGCTGCTCAGCCAAACTTTTTGGTTGTCCCAGTTAAGCGGAGAGGGCTCTCTAGAATAGACAAGATAAATAATTCCTTTAGTAATACTTTTGCTTTGATTCAATATTATTGACACATTTGTTTAATGACCGTACCAGGCTTTTGGATAACTGCATTGCTATTATAGCAGGAAGTGACCGCTTCTATCCGCTTCCAGACAGTTTGCTTTCTCAAATGCTGCTGTGGACTCACATTGTCATGTTTTGGGAGGGCTATTTTGGAGACTAATTTATGTTATGTGGTGCAAATATCATCGGTGGACCTAATTATAATTCTGTAAGGACTTTGTTTGTAAAAGCACCTGTTCAAGTTGGGTACAATGTTGATCAGTGGTAAGGATTTTACGCAGATGTCTTGGGGGATGGAGACAAAACGTCTGCAAGCTGGCAAAATGTATTTAGCTCAGAAAGCATCATTTTTCAGGGGAGGGAAAAATTTAATTTTTGTTGTTGTTGTTGGGAACATTTGTACCTACTTTAATGTGTGTGTGTTGTCTCTCTCCCCCCAATATGTAAAATTTTGACAATATTTCAACAGCTATTGGTCTATGTCATTGGAGATAAGCAACTTGTGTTGTGGCCTGTATAGATTGTGTGATAACAATTCTCTACTGTTAGAAAAAGTGGAAGCTAGAAGCTTTAATGAGTCCATTGTGATTTGCCTTTTTTTGTAGATCCTGAACACAGATGTTGGAGAAGATGCGGAATGCCATGCAGCTAAACTGTTGGAAGTCATCTTGTTGCAGTGCCCGGGGAAAGTTGATCATGTAGGGAAACTTGTCTTGTTTTTGTACTTTTATTTTCTGAATTTTTTTTGCTTAGGAAGGTGTTAGTGAACATTTTATGATACATTTTAAAGTGCACCTCACAGATTGCGAGGGGTATAATAAGTGTTGGGGAAAAATAAAAAGTTTAGCGGTTGCTGTTGCACTTTTTTTTTTTATGGCCTATGTTTTTTAAATGGATTGTTGCATTGATTACAGTTGATGAAGTGGCTTTGGAAAGATTATGTGACTTCATATCTTAAAAGGAAAGTAAGAATAGAATGTAATGTGCAGTTTTGGAGAAGTACATGGCATGAATTATAACATGTAACATGTTCAACAAAGAAAACAGGTTTTTTATTCTTTCAAAATTGCTTACTGAATTAAAAAATATGCCAAGCTATTGTTTAGGTTTTTCCATGTGACCCCATAAAAAAAATTCTTTTGATGCTCGTTTTCCAGCAGTTAATGAATGTACGCACATTTTCATGGCTGGATATTTACCCTTTTTGCCAGGTGCTGGGATCTTTTGTTGAGCTTGTGCTGCAGAGGTTGACTCGTGAGGTGCAGACGTCTGAGTTGCGCACTATTTGTCTGCAGGTAAGAAAGCATTTCTCGAATTCTCAAAGTTTATGCGTTCAAAATAAAATTTAATGCCTTGAAAAAGTGTTTGCTAGTGAAGATAGGACAGTGTGAGGTGATGTAGCGTCTTAATATACACGGCTTAGGATCGTGTCAGGTTGTTAGTGTTTGAGCGATTGATCAGCTGTTTTTCACTTTTTGCTTCTTTGAGAGCGAAGAATGTTTCTGAGTGTTCTGAGGTCTGCTCGGGTAATAATATAGTGTAATGTGCATAGAGCTTTCTATCGAGCGGGGATATGTGTTACACAAATACTACGTCTTCTTCTTCTTATTATTATTGCTATTACTATTATTATAATTAATGAATGTGGAGCGGGGATATGTGCTATACAAATGCTATTTTAACAATTTTTATCATTGGTATTACTACTATTATTATTAATTTGTTAATTATTATGTGCCATTCAAATGCTAATTTTATCAATTTTTATTATTACTATTATTATTATTAATTTACATTATTATTATCAGCATGATTGTTACTATTTTACTTATTATTATTATTATTGTAATTATTACTTGTCTCAGGTTGTCATTGCTGGCCTGTACTACAACACTCCCCTCCTGCTGGATGTCCTCGGGAAGCTGAACATCCCGTCCATCAATGGATCCGTCTTGGGGCAATTCCTCAACCAGTGGCTGGTGGATACAGACTGCTTCCTCGGGTAAGAGATTCGCTGCAATGTCCTTGTCTTTTCATACATGGAAGAGATTTTAAAAATAGAATTTTTAAATTGTAGATGGTAATTCTTTGCCCTATCGACAGGCTGAATGAAGGGCTAGAACTAGAACTCAGATAGCCGCTGGATCGGAAAAGTAAAGTAAATGTAGATTTTAAAAAAAAATTTTAATAGAGGGTTTTACGGCGCTCGCAACTGCATAAGGTCATATGAGCGCCAATGACTATTATTTATTGTATGTTTCGATGTTCTTCTCTTTACATAAATGAAGAAAACTTTCATGGTCCAAAGTGGGTGATTGGCGGGTGCTCTGGTGGGGCTTCCTCTCTTTCCTATCAAACGTCTATTGTCTTTATCTCTCCTGTTTTGTGTTTGTTACTCTCTTGTAACACCTCTAATCTTTGGCACCTATATCACCTAATTGCTTTTGCCTAAAGCGAAAACCTTTTTCCTTTTTCCCCCTTCAGCCTCCATGATCGTAAGATGAGCGTCCTTGGCCTGTGCTCTCTGATGAGCATGGTGGGTCAGCGACCCCAGGAGATCACGGAGGCGGCCTCCAAAATTCTGCCGGCTGCCCTTCTGCTTTTCCAGGGCCTGAAGAGAGCCTATGCAAGTGAGTTGACGCGGGGGATATCTTTCATTCTTTTTCGTTTGTACAAGGACATCTGTCAGTAAATTTAGCGTGTGACAATGATGCGTGGATCTGGCAGGTGTATGTGTGTGTGTATGCATTGTTAAATGGTCTTGCGATGTGCATTTTCTATCCTTTTATTCATCTGTTTAAGTTGAGTGAATTTTATGCGTTGTTCAGCGCTTAGAGCCTTCTAAGGATTGGGTTGCCTTATAAATACCCATCATCATCATCATTATTATTTTTATTCTTATTCTTAGTGTTTATGATGTTGCAGGTAGAGCTGCAGAAGACGAGAGTGACTCTGACGACACAGACGTTGAAGATGATGAAGCCTATGACGGTAAAATGAATATACAGCTTTTTTTTTCTGGAATTAGTGTCTGTCTGTCTGTCTGTGTCTCTCTCTCTCTCTCTCTCTCTCTCTCTTTCTCTCTCCCTCTTTCTCTCTCTCTCTCTCTCTCTCTCTGTTCTCAAATTAAAAAAATTATATCATGTATTTCATAAACATTCAGGAATTTTTCAATTTAACTTTTCCCTGAAGATATACCCCGTACAGATGACACAACACTGAATAAGTGAAATTACAAAATGTTTTAGAGCTTTTATAAAAAGTTTTGCTGGATTCAGGAGGTACATTAATTGTTCAGATTTAGAGCGATTGTCACTGAAGTAAAGTTGGCTTGTGGGCAGTTGGCAGGTGCTCTGGTGTTATTTGCTTCTTTTTTCCCATCAAACATCTATGGTCCTTATTTCTCCTTTTTTGTGTTTGTTACTCTCTTGCAACACTTCTAATCTCTGGCAATTATATAACCTAATTGTGTGGCAAGTGCTAGAACACTTTTGATTAAACAGAAAGTTGTGGGTGGTTGGCGGGTGCTCTGCTGTGGTTTGCTCCTTCTTTCCCATCAAACATCTATCGTCTTCATCTCCCCTCATCCTTTTTTGTGTTTGTTACTCACTTGTAACACCTCTAATCTTCGGCACTTATATGACCTTATTGTGTTGCAAGTGCCGTAAAACACTTACTAAAACTAAACTAAAACAGAAAGTTGGCTTTGGGTTTTTTTCATTTTGTCTATTCTGTATGTGGCTAATGTGTGAATATTTAACAAACTTTGTTTGGCCAGGTGAAGTTCTGTCTAGTGACGAAGACGAGATAGATGAGAGCAGTCAGCAGTATTTGGAGCGTCTGGAGAAAGCTGCTGTAAGTAGTTATAAGGAAGCAGACATTTACTGCGTCCCGTTTACATTAATCGGTGTCATGTACTTTACGTGGGCAGTTGACAGGTGCTATGGTGTGGTTTGCTCCTTTCTTAATCAAAAGGGTATCGTTCTTATCTCTCCTCCTTTTTAGTGTTTGTTACTCTCTTGTAACACCTCTAGTCCTCAGCCCTTATATGACTAAATTGTGTTGCAAGTGCCGTAATACTTTTTCTAAAACATGAAAACATTTGCACTTAAGGGGCCAGCCAGAAATTGATTAAGAGTTTCTTGGATGAAGTGGCTATCTCTTCTTTTTGTTGCTCGCAGTAAATGAATGTAAATTAAGCATTTATGACATGATTTCTGTGCTTTGCTGGTTGTGCTATTTTGATGTGCATGTATAGTTGATGGTAAAGGACAGTGTATGGGCCAGTGTTGATGCAATATGAGGGTCGGGTGGATCTTGGCATCTGCTGGTGTGGCCTCACGATGGAAAGGGACAAGTCGCAAATATTCTTACACTTGCTGCAGAGCTGCTGGATTTTGTGATGATATTTAACACTGCCATCATATTTTGGGGAAAATCCAAAGTAAATGGGTGGTAAACAGAGGCAGCAAAGTGTGGAGGAATGTGTGTTTGAGATTGGCCGCCATGAGCTTTCAGGATTGATCTATGTACTGTCACAAAAGTTGAATCCAACTTTGGGATATGAGAAGATATAATTTCGGACATTCCAGAAAGGTGTTGCATGATGTATTCCTCACCTGACTTTTCGTTCATTTGATAGAAAATTATGATTGCTGGTATGCTTTGTTATTACAACAATGATGCTCTGACCTCTGAGAAGTAAAATGGAGATAAACTTTATGCCCTTGAAGACACGACTAGAAGGCTATCCATGAACTAGTTCACATCAAACCAATATTTCTAAGTATATTATGTGAAAGAAAAGAAAAAATAAGGCCATATTTGATTCTAGCAAACTTTTGCCGGTGGCTTTTAGTTCTGAAACTACAATGAACCTGATCCTGCGGAAGAGGCATTTGTAGAGGCAGTCTTGAGGTGTATGAGTCTAAACCTATTGTTATCCTGCATAGACTTTCCCGACCAAAGACAGTTATTGAAAGTGTATTTTTCCCCTCTGCGTAGATGAAAAAGAGAAAGTTGATGCGAGGGAAAAGGAAGGTTTGAAACATTTCCTTGTATTGAACTAAACATATTTTTTTTTGTATTGACCAACCAGTACCAGTAGGTATAAGTATAGGTCTGTGTTATTTTGATTTAATCCAACATGCATGATTTTGAAGTACCCGTTTCACTTTTGAACTTTGCAATTTCTAACATATGACCCTTACTATTGTTTCTATTTGTTGTATATTCACGCTCACTGTAATTTACTTGATAATATTTGATAGCCACCATAATTTAAGGGCCGGCGCATTATTTTAATAACAGGATGTGGAAGAATTAAAATGCTTACAGGGGTAGTTAAAAGTTTTTGCATGTGTACCATATTGCATTCAGTTTTTTGGTCATTTCTCTTGTATCTTTACCAGACTAGACTTTGACATTACCAACTACTTATTGGTCTCTCTTCTTAAAGAGAAAAAAGAGCAAAAAGCAGCAATTTCATACTTAGTTGCTGGGACACCTGAATAAGTCTACATGCTAGATATTGAGCATCACAGTAAGGCCTTCAAATCATGTAGACTGCTTAGTGTAGACTCCACCATACGCCATTTGGAAAAGGGATGTACGACGTAGTCTTACACTGAGCTGTCGGTGTTCAGTTTCCTGGTTCGCGCATGTATGTTTTCAAGATTGATATGTTGTGTTATGTTTAGCCAAAGAGCCTACATAACAAGAGGGGCCACTTCTCTCTTTGAGCCAATTAAAAAAGTATCCTCAAAATTCGGTGGCGCCTCTTCGCAAATGCGCACCCTTTGCGAAGTGAAACTAGCAAGATTTTGAATAAATTTTGGAAGAACGCATTTTAAAAATAGTTACGCTGACAAAAAACCTCTTCCGGAGGACAGGGTGATTGTTTTCTTCGTTTAATTTGACTTTACAATGAAAGGCGAGAGGTCATTAAAAAGAATAAAACCTAAAACTTCACACTGAACGAACCCAAACTGCTGATGAACAGCAGTCGATCTGCGCACGCAAGGAGGTGCTATTCCTATTCTTCTTCTGGAAAAACGAAAGAGAGCGTCAAAACAGACTGCAGCGCCATCTGAAGCAAAGAGCGAACTTCCGGCAGACAATTTTTTGGCTGAGTGGCCCATCTTGTTATGTACTATCTTTGGTTTAGCTAATCTTTGAGAGCTTGTAAAACGAAGCAGCAGGTTTCCTTTTTTTTTTTTTTTTTGGTGCTGGGGAGAAATTTAGTACCTTATCTCTTTGTGGAATTTTTTAAAGGAATCTGAATACTTAAATCTTCTTCTTCTCAATTGCATCGCATGAATACTTAAATGTTTTGTTGTTTCTGCTTGGTTTTTCTAGAATCGCGGTGATGATGAGGACAGCGATGGAGAGCTGACAGATGACGGTGCCGAGGAGACTGCTCTTGAGTCGTACATCACTACTCTGGATGCAGAGAACTGCCCAGTGGATGAATATGTTACTTTCAAGAACATCCTCACCAGTGCGTCTCGTCACTTTTTCTTATTTTTCAAAAATTAAATAATGCTGTGTTGATGTTCTTGTTTTTGTCCGTGGAATTTTTCCTCAAGCATGATAAAATTCACAATGAGATTTGCCATATTCACGCACTTATTCTGCCATTATTTTTGTTTCTCTTTTGACATGAACTATTGAAATTAAGTAATGGGTGTATTTGTGTAACAATGCAGTAAAAAGGTGATTGCTCTTTGCTCAAAATGAAAGATGCAAATTTCATTTGTGTTCTGTAGTATTAAGGCAGCTTTTTTTTCTTTACTTATTTCTACCTAGCCCTGCCAACCCAAGATGGTGGATGGTACCAGGCTATGGTCAATGGCCTGAACCCAGGTCAAATGAAGGAGATTGAGGAAGTTTTCAAACTGGCAGAACAGAGGAAAGCCGTGACAGGTAAAGAACATTGTTGTTATAAACTACAGACTAACTTGTCTGCGGGTGGGCCCAAGCACAAAAATGAGGGGTCGCATTTGCGCTTACAGAGCCCAAATGTTTAGACAAAACCTTTTTGTTGCTTACTAACAGGTCTATTGATGGGTTCTCATGTGCATTTTCTCATGTTACTTGTTTTGTGTATTTTCATTTCTCCCAAACGTGTTCCATGGGTTGTTGGCGGGTGCTCTGGTGTGGTTTGCTCCTTCTTTCGTATCAAACATCTATCGTTCTGATCTGTCCTCCTTCTATTTTGTGTTTGTTACTCACTAGATCTAGTAACAACTCTTAATCTTCGGCACTTATATCACCTTATTGTGTTGCAAGTGGGGTAAAACACTTACTAAAATTAAAACGTGTTCCTTGTAGTCATACGTGCCCTTATACGGACCTGCTATTCAACACCCTGACTCATCCCCACAAGATGTAGGCTAATTTTCAAAGACAGTTGTGGAGTTCTGTAGTGCAGCCAGTAGTTCTATGAGGAAGACTCCTCTAGTCTCTCTTGCACTATTTTCCCTTAAATTATGTTTCTTCTGCTCTTTGTTTTCACCTTTGATATGGACGTAATCTGCTTCTTGGTACAATGTGGCCTATTATTGGTTGTCCCTTCTAGCTGTGCGCTGCAGCTCGTCACATCATTATTGTTGTCTCAGTGTGCGTCTCTACAGTGGAGAATGTGCATTTCTATAGCGCAGACTGCAGCCTTTGGGAAATGTGCAATTCTATAGCGCAGACTGCAGCCTTTGGGAAATGTGCATTTCTATAGCGCAGACTGCAGTCTTTGGGAATGAAAAGCTTGCCCTTAGTAATTTCTAAATGCTATAAACACGTGTCATTAATCATTTCGTCTTTAAAATGGTAGCCAACGGTTGTAGCTGACCCTTTTGTGAATTGTTTACGTTGTGGTAGACTGCTAATATTGGAAAATTGATTAATGAAGTTGTTGCACTCCATTGTTTATGATGTAATTATTCAGGTACAGGTACTCTGTACAATTGTGATGTGTTTTACTCATTTTTTTCTAGCGAAGACCTTGTATAATTTTAAAAAATATATTTTTTTACCTCCAGATTCCAAGAAAATTGAAGAAGGCGGAGGTTTCTCGTTCACCAATAGACAGGTGCCGTCGACCTTCAACTTTGGCTCTGGCTAAGTGCTCGGGGTTGCATTCACTCTCACTTCACGTGTAGAGGAGGACTTAGTTGTCAAAGAACTGTGAGAGATCTTGATGATGTGTGGCTGCAGGACTTCACTGGTGCAATAATGACAAAACCTGGGGTACATTGTGTCGAAGATGAGGCTGAGAAGTTCCACGTTGCGTGCGTGACTAGAATTATAAAAGGTTTATCCCCTTTTATAGACCCTAACAGTTCTCCAATTGTGATTGCCTCGAGTGAATTCGCTCGGCCGTCTTGCTTAGTGCCGAGGGCTTTATCTTTCCTTTTTATCTGCTCATCATCGATTATTGTATTGTAAAAGCTTTTTTTTCCCTCTTCCGATTGCGCTATGCGTTCAGGATTATTGATTTATTGATACAGTTCTCATCATTTTCGTTATAAAGTCATATGGCCTCAGCTTGGGTATGAGAAAATGACAAGGGTATTGGGGTTTTTTTGGTTTTTAAACAATAACTCGCACCTTGTTTGGTTGAGAACATAGCAAGATAAAAGTCATATATGTGCTTGCCAATCTGCTTGATGGCTTTGGTTTCTCCAGACATGCCATTTCTCTCTCCCTAATGTAGCGGAAGATTTTTTTGTCACTAAAAGTTTTATATCTATCAAACCCCATCCCCTCACCACCACCAAATTTGGTCCGTTAGGATAAATGTCAATGTATATGTTACTCATTTCTTCAGCTTGCCTGTAAGTTGTTTCTTTTCGGATAAAAGTTTTTAAGGAAATTCATCTTCTTTTTTTTTTTAGATTTCAGAATGGCATGTCTGTTCTTTAGCAATCAAGCTCTATGGAACCCAGTCGTAACCCTGGCTGTTCCCCCTTTGTTTAGTAATTGAAAGTTAAATGAGCCTTTACGCATGCCCTGTTGTGGTATTTAAAATTTTTGATATTTGGCTAGCATTTTTACCTCTACCCTCAAGGGTCATAGCCTTGAAATGCCGGTCTTCAGTGTACAATGCTCATCCATTTTTTCTTCATCAAGTGGTCTCGTGTGCTTTAATTATGTTAAATCGGTATGGTTGCACTCAAGGGGACAGCTTGGACAGGGTCCACACTTCTGTGCTGAGGTTTTTTGTTTTTTTGTGTGAATAGCTTTCACTTTCAAGCAGACTTTAGTCTCAACTCTCATGTTGGCTTGTGACAATTATAGGATGAGGTGTTTGGTTTTAGTTCCCCTTTTTTCCCCCCTTCGGTTTGTATTTGTTTTGTGCTTTCTCTTTTAATTTCTTTTCATGTTCAGTTCCATTTCCGTTTTCATGAGTGATTATATCATCATTCTTCTTTGCTCTATCATCTCATTCCTCAAGTTCGTCAGTCCACGACGTTTTCTTGAAAGCCGAAGCTTTCAGGGGTTGTCGGTTCGTTGATTCCATTCACTCATCACTACTGTGTTTGTGCCTGATGTGTTTCAGGCACTAAGCAGGGGGTAGACAAAAGGCAGCACATTCTGTTTTTGTCCCCCTCCCCCCACACCCACCCCCCTCTAGTCTTATGGTCAGCAGAGATGTTGTCTTTGCCAGACTGTTTCAAGACACAACCACAGCCCCACCCACCCACCCACCCCCGCCGCCAAACATCCTCTCCCCCCCCACCCCCACCCACCCACGTGTACACATTGAGATAATTATTTGTTCTTGCTCTGTTTCTCTGTTCAGTGCTGGACAGAACAGAGGAACTGAGGGGAGATCGGTGACTTTTTGATCTGCCTCTCTTATACGTCTCTGAGCTTTGCCTTTTCTTAGCCGGACGACTTGTAGAATATAATATGGTTTTTATCTATTTTTTTAATGTGTGTAAATAACCAAAGGAGTATTGAGAATAAGCAAATGACAAAACGTTGTTGTTTATCCCCCCCCCCTCCCCAAGTGTTCATTCCTGCCATCTCTCTTCCTTGTCATGTGGGCATCACTGTGATAAGGAGAAGACGGAACACAGCAATGACTGTTTCTGTCCAGGAAGTCTAATCTCTATTGTGTGTTTTTGTTTTTTTAAAATATTGTCTCTCAGAGTTTATCGCACTGAGAGATGGGAGGCAGAGCTGGCTGGTCACTATCAGCTTGACCTCTGACCTCCCAAGATGACCGAAGGCTAAGTCCGTTGTTGCCATTGTTTGTCTGGTGTCTTTTTTTTTTTTCCTCTTTTAAAAAAATTTCGTATGTGTTGAGCTACCGGTTCTTTGTATTTTGGAAATGGAAAGTGTGGAAGCTTTACGAGTACTGAGTACTTTGGTGGTCGATAGCTGTCTCAAATTTTCCCCCATCTCTGATATTGTTGGCCTCGGGGGTGTCGTTAGCAGTTTGAGAAACTTTTTGGAAAAGTTGTCCTTTGTTCTATCGAGACGTTGGTGTCTGTCTCTGTCCCGTGTTGGTGTGCTCTTCACACTTGCCGGTGGCGGTCCAGTAGTAATTTGTCTCTGAAGGAGAAGAAGTAGCCGAATAGCTGGCCGCAGTTGAGCGTCATGCGTTGTATTAAAGAGTTTTGGAGGAATTTTGTAGCAGTTGTACGTCCCTTGTTGAAAATGTTGCTGCCCCTCTGGTTCGGGAGAGAGCACACTTGTACTTGGCTTGCCAACTGTCATGAATTTCCCCAGGACTGTCCTGGATTGAGCGCAATCCAGAATTTGAAAGCTTTGTCCACATACTCTTGTGCCAAAACTGACAAGGCTGTTGTTATCATGTTGGGTGTCCCTGACTGGGTTTTGAGAAAGTTGGCAAGCCTGCTTGTAATTATTGCTTCTGTCATGGTAGGTTCTACGTACAAGATTCAAAAGAGAAAAGAATTGATTGCATGGAGAAATTGATGATTGATTGTCGGAGGCCTGGTCACTTCTGTTTGACCTTAGTAGCCGTCTATGCCATTTAGTGCCGTAAAACTTACAAAAACAATGAAACAAGTCCTTGCCGTTGCCTCCAGTAGCAGAGGAGCACTTGGCTCCGGCTTTTTGGTCAGCCTGATAGAAGCATTTATATGACAAAGTTATCTTGTGTTCACCTCAGAACTGGGCAGTTGTGCTGCAAGGTTTTTTTAAATGTAATTTTAAAAAAGATGTTCTCAGACTTCTCCCTTTGTACAGAAAATCCTTCGTAAAGAGTTGGTCTTGGTGATTCGCCCATGATTATGAAAGAATACCAAAGATACATTGAAGCTCTGTAATGAAACTGGAGCTTTCATATATTCATAAAAGCTATACTACCTTGGCTTCTGAATCAATGATTTCATCATGGGAAAGTTGGGTTGTGCAAACTATTCTGTGTGCCTACTGTGTACTGGTCAAGACAGTAAGATATCACTGTTGACTTGAGACAAGTTTCGTAGGAAAATAAATAAAAAATAAAGTTGTATCAGGTGACCCAAAGATGTTACAAAATCAGTGTGCGTGCATGGAGGCTGTCTTTGTTATTTGGAGTATTAGATTTGGCCTTTTGCAGTGAGGTTGGAGTGAGAGTAAATGTGTAGTTGTGTATTCTAGTCATTGCTCAGGTTGCCCGGCAGTCTTGTGCTGTTGGAGAGAGGAGAGTAGACATATTGCTCAAGGTGGTGGGCAGGTTGATTTTATTTTTTTTTTGGTCCTCGGACAATTATGTGTCAGGACACTGGTGTTATCAGGCTCTCGTCAACTTTCGGGCTCATATTATGGTGTTGTCGGTATTGCCTTAAAGCCAGTCTTGGTTTTGATGAAGGAGGCCCCCCTCCATCTTGAATAGATGTCGAGATGTTTGCAACCAAAGGAGGTTGTGGTTCATATATTGTCAGGTGAAATTAGCGAGACAGTGGCTGCCAAAGTTTGGTGACTTCCAAAAATTGAGTTGAGTGTTCTTAAAAATGTAGTTTTTTGTTCCTCTGATTATTTTTCATAAACATTTACACACAAATGTATTTTAGATGAAAATTGAAATAAAAGATGTTGAGAAAAAAAATATGAATGAATTCTATAAAAAATGGCCAGCAGTCTGACAAAATGTCTGGGTTTTTTAATTTCACGATTTTGACGAGAGCCTGATTTCACCACATTGACACACACGTGTATGGCAAGCAATGGCTCTATATCGCCATGGCCCAGTGAGTGAGTTTGTTACAGAAATTTTACCCAGGTGTCCATTGTGTGCCTTTGACGGCATGCTTGTTTCTTATTGCCGACGCAGGTTGTCATGTCGTGCTCTATTGAAGACGGCGTGAACATGTACTGGTACTCAATGGTTGTTGAGATAGGTGAGATGTCATAATAAAGTTTTGCATTCAAGTCAGCACTTTCAAAAAAAAAAAGTTCCCCCCTCCATCAACAGCATTGCTTTCCACTGGTGTTGACTGCTGAGCTCAGTTCTGGTCCAAGGCAGCCCAAAGTTTTGTTCTGAATGAGTGGATGGGACAGGAGATAGGCCTAGGGACCTATATATATATATATATAACTTTTGTTTTTTCGTTTCGATGTCAGAAAAGTGGAGTAGTTATGAACGCAAGGATATTTTTTTTATTACTACTAATAATATTGTTAGGGCAGTGTTCTGTTATTCTTTGACATGTCCAGAGAATGATGGAATATTTTTTTTCTGCCGTGAGTCGATGAGTTGTGTGTCTATTTGATTTTTTTGGTTGTTTCATTATGTTTTCTTGATATCTCCACAAGTCTTTCAACGTTGTCTTGGAGCATGTCCAAGATGCGTCTCATTCTTCCGTTCATGATTCTCCCCCGCACCCAACGCCCAATCTCCACCTCCTTCATGACCTTCCCCCAATCCCCCCTACACCCCACACACAATGCTTTGGTGAAATGACCGAGGGAAGGCCTGCGCCTTTCCTCTGGCAGAGCCGTCGCATAAACTCTTTGGGGAGAGCTATTCACACAACAAAGTTGTTTGTGGACTCCTCCCCACTCCCTCACCAGCACTTGACTGGTTGAGCGGAGTTTTCTTTCCCCCCACCCCCACAGTCCCAACCCACCCCCAGAGGGTGCCCACCAAGCCGTTGTCTTGCTGTTGGCGACGAGATGGTAGGTTTAGGTGTGTCATTCCACATGCCTTGCCCTCGGGTGGTGAGCCGATCCTCCGCGCCACCGTTGGCATCACCCTGTCTTTTTTCGTGGTATACTGCGTCGCCGTTGTACATGGCTGCGTCGCCGTTACACATGGCAGCGTGGCCCGTGGCCCAGCCGTTAGACCCAACACACTAGTTGGTTGTTGTTGTTGTGGATCGTTGACAGAAATGTTTTTGTTCTGTCGTCCCCACGCCTGAGCTTGAGTGCTGTCTGTCGTCAGTCAGCACGACTACTATAATGTAGGTACCAGTGAGTTACCGACCTGCCAGGACAGGCTTTTTTACCTCCTGTCCTTGGTTGGGAGCTTCAGCGTGAGGCGCCCCCCGCCCCTCCGCCCCCTCTTTTTTCCTTTTTTTTTTTCCATTCAAGTTTTGAACAATTCACACAGTTCTGAGACTACCATTCAGAATATGTGGTGGGTTCCACGTGGAAAAAAGTCATTTCTTCGATTTTCCGAAACCTGCATACAATGTACTCTTTAAAGTGTGTAATGTTTAGAAGCAGTTTTTTTAATCATGATCTTGTTAGTGAAATTAACCATGGAATTTTTTGTTTTGCTTGAGCATCTGGTCATATTCACCTGTCAAAATGGACCTTTTTTTGATATTTTTTAGTGTGAGCAAATGTTGCAGGGTTGGATAGATTTGCATGTTGCTTCTTATTCTGGAATCCGTCAAAGAAAGCTTATTATTATACATGTTATCAGTCATCTTGCACGGCTTGGAATTACTTTTTTTTTTTTTTTTTTGCTTTGAAATGTTTAATTTTTTTTCATATTGTTAAGAACATTGTAGCATGGTGTATGAAGTATTTGGAAGAATTCTCATGCTTTTTAAGAAGGCAGACATATTTCTCGGAATAAAAAAAAAAAAATTCTTAAAGGAAATTTTAATTTGTCCATGCTTTTTTGGGGGTTTGGAGGAATCTAAATTATGAGGATAGTGTAAGAAAATAACGAAAACATTGTCCTTTGTGACATCGGACGGAGGTACAGTTTGTCCTTTGTGACATCGGACGGAGGTACAGTACTTCATGTGAGGTGGTTCAGACGTTGTTCAGATGGCCTGGTTAGGCCTGCTGCTGTTGTGGCATGAGGTAGTCGTAGTCAGAAAGTTTTGTCAGATTCAAAAGCGCTTGTCCCCAGGACATTTTCTGTCTGTGAAAAGCTTTGTGCGTGCATTTCAAATGATTTGATCTTGTGTGTGATTTTTAGTTTTTCTGTCCTCTATAGTACAGTTTTGGTGTCAGAATGAAAATTTTTCTCTCCTGCCGAAGTGAGCAAAATTTAGAAAAATATCTTCTGAAATGCCTCGCATGAGATTTTTGTGCCTCCCTGATATAAACTGCTTTATACACTAAGACAAACAAATTCTTATTTATTGTTGCATTTTGCTACGAATTGTATTTAAGCTCTGAAACGTATATCAAATAAAGTGTTCTGAAGTCAGTAAAATTATGTTCTTGGATGTTTTTAAAAATATTTTTAATGTTTACTCTTCTGTCTGTAACCAGATTTATGTCAGGGGGCTCTCGTGGCCTAGAGGTTAAGGTGTTGGCCTCTCAATCAAAGGTCCCAGGTTCGAATCCGGGTAGCGGCCGCAAAAATTTTCTTCTCTCTAAAATTGTTTCCTTTCACCTCCTTTCCTGCTCTCTGGCAATGTTCTATCGTCTCTTTGGTGTCCTCTTTCTGCCCCCACTCCCTCACCTTCTTTGCCCCCTCCTCTGCAGCCTTTCTACTGCTACTCCTTGGCTCCTTCTTACTGCTGTCTTTCAGCCACACCCCTTATCTTCTGTTAGGTAAGATGTACCTAGCCTTCTTGGACAAGGGTGAAAAATCTCGGAGGTCCCATGTGCAAGTTGCGCACGTTGAAGATCCCTTGGTGGTCTAAAATTGATAAAGAGTAGGCTTCGGGCAAAATCCAAAATTTTCTACCAATTAAAAAATTGTAATGTGTCCCGAACGCTCATATGACCTTATGCAGTTGCGAGCGTAGTAAAACACTTAACAAAAAAACCCCAACAAAAAACAAAAAATTATGTCATGCTGAGGTTTCAAGATGAGACAAAAACTACCAAAGTTTTACCAGTTCACCGTTTGCATTGGCAGTTTGTTCAAATAAATTGTGACTGAAGAGCTATTTTACTGGTAAACAGTACAGTGGCTATTGAGATGATTTGTGGGTGGTTGGCGGGTGCTCTGGTGTGGTTTGCTCCTTCTTTTCTATCATCAGTTCTTTTTGTTTTTTTTGTTTTTTTGTTTTTGTTATTCTCTTGCATTGCAGGGACCGCCACGGGCAGCAGGTGGCGCCCGATCGTCATCCAACTACTGGCTGCAAAAATAAGGAACTTAATTAACATAGCCACATGGAATGTCAGAACAAAATACATGTAGCCTACCAGAAAGGCAAATGAGATAATATAGAGCAAGAAATGGACAGGATGAAGCTAAATATGTTAGGCCTTTCAGAAGTTAGATTGGAGAGGGCAGGCTTGATTAAAAGAGGATCCAAAACAATTGTTTATTCAGGAGGAAAAACCCATGAAAGAGGAGTCGGATTTTTATTTGAAGAAGCAACAGCAAAGAGCATCAAAAGTTTTTGGGGAGTGTCAGATAAAGTCATCACAAATACCTCCTACAGGGAGATGAGAAGCCGTTCCATGTCGGATGCGACACACATTTTACCATTAGACACATCTTAATCTAGACTTTGGAGAGATCCGAAGGAAATATTATAAATGCAAGAAATTGCAAGGCATTTTTTCCGTCGTTGTTCCCAGCAGAATTTTTAATTTTGCGAAGGTCATTGGCCTTTATGGCAAATTGTAAAGTGAAACAATTTTGTTAAAATTTATTTTATTGTTATTTGTAAGAGTTGTTTTAAATCGCAAATATATTTACACTGAATTTTAGTATTTTAGCATTTTAAAGTCTTATTGTCGACGAACTGTGCAGTGAACTGTTGCGAATGCTACCAACTTGTGTTTCGCGCGCTCATATGACCTTCTGCAGTTGCGAGCGCCGTAAAACCCTGTACTAAACAAACAAAGACTAACTCAAGAGTCATTGTGGCTAAATTAGAGGGGAAACCTTTTGACATAGGTGTCATCCAAAAATGCACCAACATCAGAGCACGACAACGAGGAAATTGAGACTTTTTATGAACACCTTGATAAGGCAATGAAACAGTTAAAATCACAAGATGTAAAGATATTCATGGGAGACTTTAACTTTAATGCCAAAGTAGGAAGTACACGTATAGAAGATATAGTTGGGCCATGGGGACTGGGTAAAGAGAATGAACGCGGGGAACGACTGGCAGAATGGTGCAGAGAAAATAATTTTATGATATCAAACACCTGGTATGAAAATCACCCAAGAAGAAGATACACTTGGAAGAGTCCTGGTGATAGAAGTTGAAATCAAATAAGACTTCATACTTATTCAGAAACGTTTTAGAAATGTGAGGCAGCGTGGTGGAATCAGGCTCTCGTCAAAATAATCAAATTGAAGAAACTTGCATTTTTCCGCAAGTTTGTGAATTTTTCTCAAATTTTTTTTTTTTGTCTCAACACCTTCATGCCCATTAAAGAACTAATCTCCGTGTGGATTTTTCTGAAAAACGTTGATTAAAGGCACAAAAAATGTAAATTTTCAGTTACCGCAGACTCTTAAGCTAAGGAAATAAATAATTAATCTTAGGCGGCCATTTTCTCACTAATGTTACCTCTGAAAACAGGTGACCCCCACCTCCTTCTTTCGCAAATATCTCAACTTGTATTCTAGATAAATGGATATTTCTTTCATTCAAATAAAGACAAGTGAACAAGCTTTAAGATGATACCAATAACTCTACATGCCCAAAAACTGACGAGAGCCTGATTCCACCACGCAAATACATGCATTCCAAAATCAAAGAAGTAAGTGGGATAAAAGGATGCTCAAAATACAGGATGCATAAGATCAAAAGGAGGAGATATTTTAATGGACAACGGGGATGTCTTAAACAGATGGTCAGAATACATAGAAGAACTTTTCAAAGATATTAGAGAAAAAAAAACGGCAATAAAGAATGAAATAAATGGACCACCAATGCTGACTGAAAGCAGAAGTACAAGCTGCCATTAGGAAAATGAAACAAAAAAAAGCCACAGGGCCAGATAATATTCCAGTTGAAGTGATTGTCGCCCTTGGAGAACTGGGCACTGAAATAACAACAAAGCTCCTAAATGCTATTTATGACAGCGGTGAGATCCCAGAAGATATGATGAAGTCAGTTTTTATAGCTTTACCTAAAACAACAGGGTGCCACTGAGTGTGATATGCATAGAACAATTAGCCTTATGAGTCATTTTACAAAAATATTGCTGCGAGTAATAATGGGAAGATTGAGAAAAAGTGTAAGACCAGAGATATATCTAAAATGCAGTTCGGCTTTGTTCCTTACAAGGGTACCAGATATACTATATTCACCTTAACAATGTTAATGGAAAGATGTATTGAAGCACAGAAAGATCTGTATTTCTGCTTCATAGATTATTCAAAAGCGTTCGATAAAGTTAGACATGATGAGCTATTTGAAATACTGGAAAAGCAAAAAATAGATGGAAAAGATCTAAGCATTATCAGAAATTTGTACTGGGACCAAAACGCTGCTGTACGAATGAATGGAGAATACATTGAATATAATAATATAAGCAGATTAGGCGAGGAGTGAGGCAAAGATGTGTTATGTCACCAGACCTCTTTAACATGCACAGTGAAACAATCCTTAGAAACATAGAAGAATGTCCAGGTCTCAAAGTAAATGGAGAAAAGATTAATAACATCATGTATGCAAATGACAGTTTTGATAACAGGCTCAGAAAAGGATCTTCAATTGCTTCTTGATACTGTTGTAGCAGAAAGTGAACGTAAAGGATTATTGTTGAATGTAAAGAAATCAGAATGCAAGGTTAATATAAAAAAGCAGCAAAGCCTAGTTGTAATCTCATTAGCAAAGGTGAAAAGATCAAACAAGTCCAGCAGTTTAAATATCTAGGATATATAATAACATCTGACGCCAAATGTTCCACAGAAATAAAACGGAGAATTACAACGGCTAAGGCTAGTTTAAATAAAGTGAGCCCAATCCTGAAAAATAGAAACATCTCAATGAACACCAAAATGAATGTTCTGAAATGCTATGTTTGGTCAACCCTTCTATATGCCTATGAATACTGGACAATCACTAAAGACAGTGAAAATAAAATAGAAGCAACAGAAATGTGGTTTCTTAGGAGACTGCTAAGAGTATCGTGGAAAGAAAAGAAATCAAATGAGGTAGTGCTTGATGAAGCCCACGTGGGACGCTCAATGTTGAAAACAATCAGGAAACGACAAATGTAGTTTTTGGGACACATAAATAGACATAAGGGTCTTGAACATCTAGCTCTCACTGGCAAAATGGAGGGCAAGCGAGGCAGGTGTAGGCACAGATTAGAACAACATACTTAGGGAACCTAAACAAACGGGTAACAGGGAAAGATCAGGAAAAACGTAGCTTTTTAAAAAAAGCATCCGAGCAAAGGAATGAATGGGGAACCATGATCGCCGATGTCTGTCGCAGATCTGGCACTGGATGATGATGATGACTCTCTTGTAATACCAGCAGTCTAATCTTCGGCACTTTATTGTATGACCCAATTGTGTTGCAAGTGTCGAACTTCCTTGAAGGGCAAAGTTTACCCTGGCTATTTTTTTTCGACCACTTTTTTTTTGGGGAGGGGGTTGAAATGGTTAAATCTGATCTGGTCTGTCCCCGTAGTTTTATGCAAGAAAAATTCTGAAATTATGCAAACTGAGCCCAAAAATGTGAAATTATGCGATTCTGTTGATTTTTAAAAACAAAGAATGATAAAGGAAAATTATGATAAAAAAATGATCAAATTTTGCTAAATTATGCGGGGTGCATAGAACCACAGGGACAGTCTAGTGGGATGTTGGCGGGTGCTCTGGTGTGGTTTGCTCCTTCTTTCCTATAAAAAGTATATCGTCTTTATCTCCCCTCTTTCTTTTTTAATGTTTGTTAGTCTATTGTAACACCTCTAGTCTTCGGCACTTATGTGACCTTATTGTGTTGCAAGTGCCATAAAACAAACTGTTACTAAAACTAAATCTGATCTGGTATCGTCATACTCCTTCAAACTCCTTGTGAAATGTTCATACGAAAAGATACCAAATACATAATGAAATACATGTGCATGCATGTATGTTTAATAGAAATGACAAAAGTTCGTAAATCCTCGGGAAATTACAAAAAGAGACCAGTCGTGTGATCTATACAATATTTGTCTCAGCTAAAAAAAGGAGCCGCTCCAGCGAACGAACGAAAACATTGTGTGGTACATGCCTGTACACTACACAGCGTCACCACCAATCGTCCATCGTCCGGTTATAATTACAAGTTACACTCA